GATGCGGGCTGCTTCAGCTGATAATCCAGGGAAAAGTATTCGGAAAGAGGGGACCTGGCAGGCCAAGAATCTCCTGGCTTCAGAACCTAAAAACTTGGTTCTCGATGTCCACTGGGGGGCTGTTTCAAGTAGCAGCCAGTTAAGCTCAAATTGCTATGTTGATCGCCAGCATCCGGAATGGATAGGCACCTTAAGAAGAAGAAGAATATAGAAAGGTTGCCCAACACTGACCTATATGAACTCCAGTACGTTAAAACAGAGCCAACTCACGATGATTCTATTTTTCCGTCTTCATGACACAGAGAAGACGTCAATAACATTAAAAATTAAAGTTGTCTATTATTATTATTATATTATTATTTAGTGTTCTGTCTGCCGACAGGTCCATATGAACAGGATCCTTCCATCCTTTTCTCGGACTGGGACCTGTTCATATACGTTCTTGGCAGATGATCCAGAAGTGGTTTGTCATTGCCTTCTTCTGTGTGTGAATGGAGTAATTGTTGGGATGCCACGGAGGAAAACTCCGTGTTGCCTAGACCACGGCCTTGCCCAACACAAGTTATAAATTCGGGCACCGCCGGGAATCGAACCCGAGACCCCAGGATTACAAGGCCAGAGTTCTAACCACTAGACTACCGTGGCGGTAAAGTTGTCTAAGTAAAGTAATTTCCTCCATCTTTTGTTGTTTTTGTAATTATCATGTCAGGAGACATTTCAGAATGTATCGTAGGTTGGACATCACATTTATTAATAAATTTGTAATAACTCCGATTCTATGGTGTTCTCCTATCAATGTTTCCGATAAATAAATGAATCAGTAGAGAATATACAAAACGTTTAACATGCATATTCGTGCATTTTAGCCACAATAGTGGAAAGTACGTACGCTCGTACATTAGACAGCAGTTCATTCGTGTCTTGTGGGGATTAGAAGACAAGTATTTTTTTAATTTGAATAAATCTTACGTTGAAAAGATACGCTTAAATTCTAACATCGCATCCGACGAGTTGTTATGGTTATGAGGACTATGTTTACTTTAAAGCTACGTTATATGCAGTACACGTACTTTTTATAATAGCTAGGAACATCCAGAGTTTTAAAAAATAGCAAAGAAAAGACTTGAAAACTGTGTATTCAGAAAGGTTGCCCCTTACAGTCTTGTTTACTTTGAAAACCATTTTAAATCTATAAATACGCTATGTAGGTGAAACATGGAGTTACAAACTTAATATAAGATGCTGTATACAATTTCGCCGTGTTACATTTCAGGTACTTAACTAAATGGAAAGAATGATTTCACCACGTTTCCTCGGCAATGCATCGTACAATAAAATTTTAGGAAAATCTCCAATTCTAAACGAAAATCGGTCGTTTCATACATAAAACTGACATGATGGATTTGTGTATGTACTTATGTTCGCTTGTAGGTCGATAAAACGATTGCACCAAAATTGGCTTGCTTATTCCTTAAGACCACAAAGCGAACATAGGACAGCCAAAACTCCGTAAAGATAACTTTAGTTCGATTCCAGGAGAGTGGTTCCCGTAGCTACGAGACTTAGCACGATGGAAAAATGGCGCCGACACCTAACTCGTTCGCTCCGATGAGTAGATTACGGTAACATAGGCCACAATTCCGACAAACTGTACTGGATTCCAGTTATGGTGAAGATATCTGTGCCTTGTAAGAAAAAATATGATCTACTTCAGCGAGGACACTGATTAGACCCGCTAAAAACAGGAAACTAACGTTTGCTGCATTGTAAATATTTGGAGAAATGGCGTCATGTAAGTTCAAACGAATACTTGTGTTGAAATAATAAGCGATAAAGCAGCCATATCGGAGTCAAAGAATGTGGGAACTGAGCACACGTTGCGCAGCGCAGCTCAGGACGTAGAATTGTGATTAATAACAACATGGAGCGAATACATGTAGTTCTTACATTAGCAGCCAAGTATTAATATTTATTCAACAGATTACTACGAATTTTAATACACATTTTGATACGTTTACAGCAAAATTATCGGTGGATATGAACTAGGATGGTGAGATAAAGAATGTGCAAGTATACGAGGTGCGATCAGAAAGTTTAAAGACTGTGTCAACAGCGGGCGAACCGGATGTAGTACGAGCTTCTGCCTTTAGGGGGTGCGGCCTACATTCATAGTGAATCAGTGTGCCAGCCGGCATCATCGAATTAGCATTTGTTTCTTAGTTACGGGCGTTTTGGTAGGTCATTACACCGATCAAATTTTGCCAAAGACTTGCCAAAACGGCTACGGAAACCTATGAAATGCTAAAGCAAGCTTTTGGGGAGTCCGCAATGGGTCGTGCACCAACTTTTGTGTGGCATTCACGTTTTAAAAATGCCCGAACCTCTGTCGATGATGACGAGCGTTCTGGACGACCATCTTCGAGGACAACGCCCGAAAATGTTACGAAGATCGACGTCGTACTATCAACGACTTGTGCGACATTGTTGGTATAGGCTATGGGGCCTGTCAGCTGATTCTAAAGGAAGAACTCCACATGCGACGCATCTCGGCCAAGTTTGTGCCAAGGCTCCTGTCTGAGGACCAGAAGCAGAATCGACTTCTCGTTTGTCAGGAGCTCAAAGATCTTGCAAGAACCGACCCCAACTTCCTTTCTAAGGTTTCCTCTTCCCAAAGATGAAAATTCAGCTAAAGGGAAGGAGATTTGAGACGATAGAAGAGATTCAGGCAGAATCGCAAATGGTGCTTGACAGGCTGACAAAGAAAAATTTCCAGGGATGCTTCCAGGCTTGGCAGCGGCGCTGGGATCGTTGTGTTCACTCCCAGGGGAACTATTTCGAGGGTGATGGATGAATTTAATACCTGAGATAAGTGTACGGGTTTTTATAGGCGCAGTGTAGAAACTTTCCGATCGCACCTCGTATAAGATTTTGGTGAAGAGACTTCTTGGAGAAGGTCCACTTATAAGACCTACGTATCTTAGGGAGCTCCGTTTTAAGGATGGGAATTGTTCAATTGGCTGTGGGCCAGTAGCAAGCTCTCGTGTCCTGTAAAAGCAGTGTTGAAACTCTGGGTCCTGTTATCGCAGTGACAATGACATGTGCACAGATAACAGCTGTCAGGTACTGAGGTGGAGTTTCCGTGTGCTACGTGTACTGTTTGGCAGGAAACCTCACGAAAATGTGTCCAAGACAGAGGGAAGATTGTGGTTTAATTGCAATGTAATCTAGTTACAAACATACACTAACTACTTTATGCTTACCCGAATTAAGAACTAATGACAATGACAATAATATTAATAATGTTTTGAAACCCATTCCCATGCATTTCACATTACACCCGAGCCTCAATGAAATTTTCTAAAGTTAATTCCATCAATTTTCTCTTCCCCATCGCAAAAAGAAAAATTCCATTTCTGTTAACAAAGATTGAACTCAAATGCAAGCACAGCACTGATGGAGTTAAAACTGTGTCTTCTGCAAAACTGTAGTCCAGTTAAGGGTTCAGCAAAAGAATAGTTAAACAATTGCAATGCAATGGGCTCAATGTCCATAAGATAATCCTCCAGAGACGAGGCATTCATCAGTCAGAAACTCAAAACAACAAAATACTAACTGTAAACCTTTCCCATAAAAGCTTTGAAGCCAAGCGCGTCCAACTTACAACGAAAGGGGTGTCCAAGATATAGGGTATTGTGGACATGTAAAATTATAGGATATTCGCCGGTTCCAACTAAAATTTTCCATGATAGAATTGTGTCCAACTTGAGGGGTTTACTGTATTCGTCTTGGTTGTGCAGACTTAACAACTGTGCGTATACGAAATGCGGTGTCTCTATACAGCGCCGTGGGCGTACGTCTCTTACGAAAACCCAACAAACACACGTGTGCAGAACTGACGAATACATGCGCACGAAGTCTCCATGTGCAATGGTGCAGGCTTACATGTCTTAGGACTAAACCGTACTTACCTGCATAAGCGGACGCTGCAGCTGCAACCACCAATACAAGGATGAAGAATCGACTCATGGCTCAGCGGCGACCTCAACAATACAGACTGAGCGATCCGCGCTGCGACTCTGGTTTAAAAAGCATTCCCCCTCCCCTCCTACCCATTAGTGAACATCCTCCGGCGATGATGAAGTATTAGCACACCCAATCGCTCACTCTGTGTTACATTGTTGTTTGTTTCTGCAAGCCTGGCCATCTCTAACCTGTAGCATACGGGAGGAAATCGATATGGCGATATACTCGATCGATTACTCGCTACGTACAAATCGTTTCGAGACGAAGTATTCATCTCCAAGAGAGGAAGAAATAAAACATATTTTAATGGAAGTTGGCACCAAATATTCCAGCAACGAGCTTCTGGCTGAGAAGCAGATGATGATGCAGGCATTTGTGTTTCAGGTGGACAATAAATGCAGTTGTCTTTGTTACGGAGAAATGTGCACATTTGGTTCTGAATTTGGATATAAAGATAAGAAATGACGTTCGTACGTCGATAAGGAAACCGGATATTTCAACGTCGTGTATTGTCCTGTAGGAAAATTCCGAGCAGTGTTTGAAACTAAGCATAAATCGATTCTTTTCACATTCTTCTCATTTCATTCAAAATCATTTTGTAGACACAAAATAAACTCTGTAGTTGTGAAATCACAATTAAATTAACAAACAACACTTTTTTGGGACTCCGAAATAAGTTATCGAATTAATACGAATCCCAGGAAGGGGGATCAGCCGATCCCAAAGCTTCTAACGTCACAGGACGTAGGAAAACCCAAAATGGCAAACATCCGTGAAACAGCGTTGCCAGGGTTTCGGTGGACCAAGATAGTACTCGTCTTTAAGACTCGGATCTTAGGACCAGATGGTGAAGAACTTTGGAATTTACGTTCATATTATTTCCAGGGTAGTTAATTGAAGAAGATTACGATGTACTGGATGACACGTAAAAAACTATAAAGACAGGCAATTTTGTGGAGAATATGTTTGAGCAATTATCGCTTTCTGAAGAGCGAGGAGTTTTTCCCGAGGTCGGGTTGTTCTTATTCTTTTAACCTATACAACTGTCAAAGCTTATCGTCAATAACTGTCTGCCTGTTTGGGTAGGAACATGAACCTACAATTACTCATTCTAATTCTTGATTTTTCTTTGCATGTCACAAACCTGGTTCTTACACGACAGGCCGTTTAATAACTTCGGAAATTATGAATTGAATTTACATATTTATTATGTACAGCTAATTATATAAACCTATTAGTTATTAACAAATAAGATTAAAATTCTAATCGATTGGCAGCGATCTTTAATAACAAACCTGGAAAACACAATGGATGCAGTGCTATGTTCCAGATAAACTACAGAATCTTTTCCAAGCTCTGTGCTGCGTGGTTTGTGGTTGACGTATTGAGATAAGGGAGCGGTAAACCACAGGTACGGAAGTGGACTTGCTCAGAGCAAACGCCTACTACCGCTGTTAGCAGATAAACAAACACAGGAACGAACGGAGCGTTTATGTTTAAAAAAACAGCCCATCTACCACTTTGAAAAACGGAAAAAGTAAAGAGTCTTTCTTAACCAGCTCCAGCCAGAACGTCACAGGCGTTGTTAACCAGCTCGTTCAAGTTCACGCTGGCCGCTTCTGTGCGCAGGCGCAATTAGAAGAGACACGATATTGTGCTGCTAGGGCGGAGGGAGAGGGACATTGCAGCCTATTACGTCAGCCACCTGTCATGCATCATTCAATAAAGTGGATATGAATAATGAATAGGTCCTACCGCCACTGGAAGTTGAGAAAAAATTGTGAAATATAGATGGAAAATCCAGCATGGGTGATTATTTCAGAAACTGTAACCACACAAAGGCGCTGACTGACATGACACGACCCTGTGCTGTATGCTAATGAAATTTCACCCGGTCCCGATAGATGGCAACGCATTGCAGACGAAATAAAGCCGATACCCTGTTCTGCCCCGGTCTCCCCTAAATGAGACAGTTGATTAAGATGTGCGAACAACGAAGTAACAGAACAAAATTTCACATCCAATTATATAAAGCTACATGTTCGACTGCAGTCATTAATAAATATTATATCATGATAATAAGAATTGCGTGAATTTTTGATCACTCTGTACATTACATATTAATACTAATCTGAACTTCGTGTATTCAAATTTACACAATCCATCGATTTTACTTTCGTGCTGGAGGACATTCTGCTACGTATCTCCAAAGCACCTAGTCTTTGGTGGTACAAGGATTGGGAAACACCACTCTAAAAATTTAGTTTAAATTCGTTTAATCTGTGAGACGATAAAGCCAAATAAAACAAAAACTCACAGAATGTGGGAATGAATACATATGAACATTATTCCGGGACTTTCACTTTTTTACTTTGTCCGGAGATGGGGATTAGCTCTATCTAGTGGGCCCAACTGTGTAGGAACCTGAAGACGGAGATAGAGTCCCATCTCCGAAACGTCGTTTTACGTTTTATATTTAATAGACGATGGATAATATCCAAGTAAATTTTTATTCAATTTATTTAAATTATTTCACAGTAACGAATAACGATAAGATATGAGTCGTTTTCAATAATTCATGTGAAAGATATTTTACGCCTTCTCTCACGAGTCCGCTTCCATTTTGTTTCGACGTTCTCCATCTTATCAACTGCACTTCTGGCTCTGAGGACGTTTGTATTCATCCGCTCTATGAGGCTCAGAATACTAACTCTATTACCTGCACATTACTTTGGAGGTGACTTTATTTCTACGTCGATCAGATCAAAGGAAACTGATCCAATTAAGCTTTCATTTTGTACCTAAGATTTAATTGTTCTGTATTACATTATTATACATAGAAAAGGGATATTTTACGCAGCGAGAATGTCAGTTATTCTATAAGAATGTATTTTCTATTTAACAGAACAGGAAAGACGACACAACTCAATTCGCCCAAGGGTTTGGGATTCACGCAGTAAGCAAGCCTACAGATGGTAATGTAAGCTTACCCTCGTCTCGCGAAGGCTAACACCTTGACGGTGAAATATGTTGTAATAATCCAATGTTGTTTTGTTTGCGCTGAAAATTATGTAACTCTGGAGGACGCCGCAAAGTCAAAAATTCCGAGAACAAGGTGGATCCACGTTACCGGGGAAGTACTTGGCTGTTTCAGGGACTGAAGCAGATTTGCAATGATTTATGTTGCCAATCACAGATGTTTCTAGGATAAGGTGATGGTCCCGGAATTTAAGGTAACCACGAAATATGCAAAAACTTGTATCGTAGCTATAAGAGTAGTGAGATCTTATATTCCTTGTTTTGATTCAAAATCCTGAACCAAGTAATGTTGGAAGATTTTCGTCTTCTAGGTTGTTGTGCTGTGTAGTCTGGTAGTTTTCCACCAACGTTTCAGAGGTCATACTGTCTCCGTCATCAACGCGATGGAACGTTGGAGGAAATCTACCAGACTACAAGGCGTAATAACCCAGAAGACAGCAATATTCAGACTCACCGCTATGAAAACCTCAAATCCTATATAGTAATGTTGATTTGCAATATCTGCTTTCTAGCTCTCTTTGTTTTCATGATTGTAAATTATTGACACGTTTTAATTTTCTCAAGAATGCAAAATACATCGTAATTGAAAGCATAATAATGTTGAAAATAAAGTAAGTGAATGAAGTTTGTAGTGTACCACCGCGGTGTGATTTGATGATTTTTTTTGATTTGCTGACCGTCACGTTTCACACAATCTATTAACTGTCTGCATTGTATGTTCACTTGAACAATATGTTTCGAACGACTGTGGTCATCGTCAGGTTGAATTCCTGCTTCTTTTACATTGCACTAAGAATTTCCTCCCCGATGTCCAGAAATGATAAAAGTACATTAGAAGTTTAGAATGTTGTTAATTTGGTTGAAATTTAAAATGCTGAAAGATTACTAAAATGTTTTATTTTCCTTTATTTTCAGCACAGTCTGAATTTTTACAGTAACCGATATGGCATGGGTGTTTGTAAGTTGATATAATTGCGTCATATTGTGAATTAAAATTTAATTATTCGTGTTTTTTTTCCGTCTAATCACAATTGTATATAAATAAAATTATACATAAGATATTAAAATATCAATATCTTATGTATAATTTTATTTATATACAATTGTGATTAGACGGAAAAATCACGAATAATTAAATGGGTGTTTGTGTTTCCGCAGTCTCCTCTCAAACACCGAACAAACTAGAACACGGGAGTGCACTATTGATGAGTTAACAATGTGTTCGTTCGACTTACAATTAAAAAGAAATGTAAACTTTTGTTTTGCATTCCAAATTATATTATTTCTTCGATCACGCTGCTACTTTCAATGTCGAATTTCCTTTTTTTCACTCAATATCAACAGCACCATTACTAAAACCGAGAATAAATATTTCATACAGGTGTCTTACAGCTTGTGTCATGCACTGGGGTAATTCGGGACATAATTTCGAGTGAAAATCGTAGATAGAACTTTGATCCTATTTCCAACCGTTGTTGAGCTGTGGTGACTTCAAGGTTCACTCAAGGAAAGATATACGACAGTATTAATGAGACTAATTTATTGCTACATTTTATAACACGGTTTTTTTCTCTTCAAGATTTATGCCTCAGATTTGCTTCTTCAAATATGTTTACTGCTCGTTGATTAACAGTCGAGTATAAAAATCTTACAAAAACCAACCTCCTTTCCACACTTTTTACGACACAAGCGTCTCAGTCCTGATTCGACCATAATATATATTTGGTTCAGCCATTCCACTATTTAAAATCTTGACCACTACTGAAATATTTCATGACATCCTACCTATGTGGATGCATACTGAAGACGTAACTTCTCTTAAAATTACTCTCTATCTGAACCTTTTCCATTGTCCATGTTTAAGAGAAGGACAATGGTAAACGTCAGAACAATTTGGAATTGAATTACGTAACTCGCTGTAAGTTAGAGACTACACGAATCACTTATGCATTGCCCAAAAGCATGATTTCTCGTAAGACTGTACGTTAAAGCGTCAAAGCTTATCACACTCAGAATATAACAATGGAAATCGAAGACGATAATTACCTCATACACACA